TGCAGTGAGCCAAGATCACGCCACTGCACTCCAGCCTGGATAATAAGAGCGAAACTCCGTCTCAAAAAAAGAAAGAAAAAGAAAGAAATCTGTTGCTGGGCAGGAAACACGCTCCAGTCAGGAACTTGCTTCTAAACTTTCGATTTACACAGAAACGATTAATGACTCAATCACCCACAAACAAATGGAGCTGTGTAATACACACGTCTAAGCAATTATACGGAATGTGTATCTAGAAAGCATAGCTTTTAGTATCTGTAGGGAATATTCGTATTTGTTTGTTTAACATTACACTGTGAGCTTCCCAAGATTTCTGTATAAGAAATTGGGGATAGACGGGACAGCAGGAGAGGGCAGGGAGGCAGAGGGGGAGAGAAATTGAAGGTATTTTTTCTATGGAGTAAGAGGTCTTTCTCATAGGAAAAAGTCTACGTGGAATTTTTAACAGACCACTTCAAATTATCCAAGTCAATATCTCACTTGGGACCTCAGGTCCACACCATCAAACACCGCCCTGTTACGGAAACTCGATACATGTCGGTTTGCATGAATAAACCGCTACATTTGAATTACCCCGGGAACACTGTCTTGAAATTACCCAGCAATCAGTAGCGGTTGGCTGTCTGATCGTTGGATGTGTAGATGAGTAAACGAACGGTTTGTCGTTTTACTTAGAACAGGCTACCGAAAAACATGCAAGAGTCTAAGTCACTTTCGAAGGGAAGTGAGGGGCGCGACCCGGGGGAGGTAGGGACTGCGAACTGCGGATTCGGGAAGGCTGAGCAGCGGGGCCCCGCGGGCGGGCGCCAAGCAGCTCACCTTCACGTGCTCGTAGTAGCTCCCGGTGTGCAGCCGCTCGACGCCTCCGAACCCGGACTCGCACTTCAATCTGTGCAGCAGGTGGCCCACAACCCCATTCACCACCTTCGCCGCCTTGGAGATGTCCTGGTGGCTGAGCCTTAACTTCTCCAAAACCGCCCGGAGCTTCCTGGCCCCAGGCACCGCATCCCTCTGTACCAGAATGGGGACCGAGACCGGCAGGCCGGGGCTGGGCACGTCCCGGGGCCCGGGCGGGGGTCTTGGCTTCGGAGAGCAGCGCG